AGAAAAAAATGATTTTTCATATGTTTTACTAGTAAATTTCAAGGAGTGACGGATACTTTTGGCAGGGGGGTGTATATTTTAATAATCAATTAAGCTGTCATATGCTTAATCTTCATTACCACATTCTTCTCAACTCTAGGGTTCTTTCCTCTTCAACTGGATCCCGAGGGTCCCATTGAGTGTGTTTAGAATGAACTCGGATAAGAACGAGTTCTTTAAACTTAACAACACTAATGTCTTGTTTGGAGTATAAAAAGAGTTCGGTATCGAAACCAAGTTATATGGGATCCAGAGACGAATCCTTTTTGTCCACTTTGCGCGAATGTTCAAACTTAGCATCGTTTACTGTTAATAAAAAAACAAGTATTTGGTTTATTACTCGGCCAGCTTCTAGGGCATGGTCAACGACGTTAATTGATCTTCCCGGCTCTATAGAACACGTGATCGCCAGCACTTGCTTCATTTTAACTCCGTAGTTTGAGAGCAATTCTAAATCATTGATGTTATCATAAAATTTAAACAATGGTTCAACTTCACGTTACAAGACGTTTTTTTTTTTTTTCTGTTTTCGCGAGCCTATCAAAACACATCTACGATAATAATAATAAAGGTAAATTTTTATCAACTCGGGAAGATTTGAGTTTTTCAATAACTATTTATTATACATTCAAGGGAGCAATATTCAAAAATATTTATTATATACAGTTCGCGGTAGGAATCTTGAAAAAAGAGTGAACAAGTATGTAAACTTTAACTTACAGGAGCGGTCATAAGTATCCGAACGCCCCCAAACTCGGGACAGGATTCTGTGTATACACGTAGTTTATAACAAACCCTGATCATCTGTAAAATTCAGAGACATATTTATACCCATTGCCAAGTATAGTACCGATTTCCTTCCAATTAGACACATATTCCAAGGTTAATTCCAGGAACGTAGAGACACAAATCTGACAAACAAAACAAAAAAAGATCATGCAAATCGATTAGAAACATTTGGAGATATGGATTTTTTGAAGTTTATTCGAAATAAGCGACATGCGGTTTTGATATGTTTTTAATGTTTTAGATATATGTTTGGAGACATCCGATCGAGCTGAAACTTTACAGTTTGTTATACACTATACACAGGGAAATTTTCAAAGAGCTGCCGGGCGTTCGGATACTTATGACCGCTACTGTATTTCCGTGCATGCTTTTATGTCCACGTTTCCTTGCGAATATATGTACTATTCATACAATAAAATAATATACCCATTGGACCTTAAAATACCCTGGACACTTCAGGGATATTGCAGCTGTGAACCGCAGGTTCCGAAGTTACTGAGTAGATTCGAATCTTGTTGAAATTGGCGGGCGAAATTAAAACATTTTTGTATGCATATGTTAATCCAGTTCTGTAAGTCAAGCATTTTTGTGGCTCATTGCCAGTTGGGTCAATATTGCAAGCAAATCTCAAATCTAGTAATCTGACAGCGCCCACTCAAAAAAGACAAGTTTAACTGAGTTAGCAGGCAAACTACGCAACAATTCTAATCCATCGCCTTGGTTAATGGCATTTAGTTTTATTAGGCGGTTTTTTGTTTCAAAAGCAAGGATTAATTGTCATAATAATAGGAGCAACGAGAAGTTTATTTCTTTGTTATATTAATTCTTCTAAAAGCGTAGACAAATATAGTTTAGTGTAGCTGATGTACAAGTGCAAAAGTGGGGGAAAGATGTTTGGGCACTACGAAAAACCATTGTTGAAAATTTTAATAACAGCGAACTCGGGAAAGTGGTAGATTAAGCCTGCCTGTGTGTATACGTCCGTCTAACACGCTTTCAATTCTATTAGGTAAAGATAGTTGTCTTTAATAATAGTAACAACAGAATAACCGTGTTTTAAATAAAAAATTTGGTATGCTTAACCGTTTAAGCTTGATATGGTAATTATAATAATACAGTAATAAGTCTGCGTATTATGGTGACATAAGAGATTAAATATAAGTGTATAGCACATGATCAAACGGGGATCAGCTGTCATTTGTATATTGGTCATCTTAAACGATATTAGGCAAGACAATATATAAAGTCACACAACCTGTGCTAATATTTGAGTACTGTCAACAATCGAAGAGAATGAAACGAACACTACATGAGAGGTAAACATTTGTGAGACCACTAAGGTCTTGCAAGAGCGGAGTTAAAGCACGAACGTGGAAACGAATAACTGACTTTACATGTCAATTTAATAAAATTAATAGCTTATAACAACATACAGTATATCTTGATATGATATCACAACTTGCTACTTTAATACTAAGAAAGACATGCATTATTACCATCTACATGGACAAATATACATGGACAATCCTTAATTTTCTTTCTCACATTCGAGTTAAAGCTAATATTTCGCTAATGTTACTAGCAGCCGATATTCTGCCTAGCACTGATTGAGTACGCTCTTCCCTCATAACAACGTATTCGTGGCTTGTAGGCATTTGTACAATAATATATGAAATACATGTATTGTTGAGATGTTGAAAATTATTATCTGCCGGACCGTCGTTCGTCGTATCAGAATGAGGGACGGAGGGACCACCGAGTGTCTGAAAAGATCCTGGAAGCGGACAAGAACTGTTTTCGACTTGATTATGGCTCGGTGTATTCAGCTGCCCATTCATCGTGTCAACGTTAGCATATTCTGAGAGGTTAGCTTGATACGATGCACAATCGCCTGTATAAGTTCCAGTATCCCCGTAGTCCATAGTATTCACAGACATCGCATCGACATTGTCGGAGAGGAAAACGGAAGTAGCAGAAGGGAGGAAATCTTGAGATGGAGGCTGCAAATTAACGGGCATGTAACTTGGAGGATTGGTGTCATCAAAATTGAAGCCCTCTGGGTAAGTCGATTGACATATGTTGTTATAACGTCCGATATAATCGTTCATATTATTCGGTTCGCTCATTGTATCAATGTTATTACGAGAAAGAGAGAGTATCAAGTCTTTGATTTTAATGATTAAGCGTTGCTCGAGCTATATATATAAAGAATGGCGTGCTGTCATTAACTATTAATAAATTATATTTTATCTTACTTTTTATAAGGTAAGATCGACTATCGCTATGGAGTTTTGCGTTCGATTTGCAGGCGTACGTTGTGTTACTTGTCGTTGTTGTTGACATATTAATACTAATATAGTAATCACTTGGTTCGTTTAATATTGTCGTTGACATAATTACTTGTATCAATGTTATTAGGAGGAAGAGACTACAAAGTCTTTGTTTAATTAATGATTAAGAGTTTTTTGTGTTTGCTCGCATTCGTACACTCTCCGTCAAAAATCTTACTATGCAGTAATGATGATTTTGGTATAAACTTGTCGAAAATGATATGTGCAGAAACTTGTTACACAATTTATGGGACACAAAAAAATATCTCTCGTTTGATAATACCTTATAAGGCGATGATATGCGTAGTGGTTTTTAAGTACCCCAGTAGGCTGGAGGTTTTGTTGCAGGAGCGTGACTTCTGTATTACATCTCTGGCCAGTTAAAATATTTT